TTTTCATTTTTCCTCTCTGTCTGTCTGTCTCTCTCCCTGTCCTTCACTGTCTCTCTCTCTCTCTCACGCTCTCTGTCTCCTTTACACACACTCTATGTCACTCTCTCTCTCTCTCTGTTTCTGTTGTTGAGTGCGAGCTGCGGCAGCAGCTTCCCCAAAGACAATACTCTTCCTGTAACCCCCTGGCTTACTGTGGTGGGGGGCGGGAGTGCGCACACGAGCAGGAAGACCCTCCTCAAGCAGCCAGCCTCAGCAAAACCGCAGTGAAGGTGTAAGGGGCAGATGGGTTGACCGGCTGATGGGTGAGCATTTTTTGTGAGGGCGCTCTGGCTTTCTTGAAGCCTGACGCCCCGGGATCAGCATGTGAGTTTCAGTGGGGCCAGCTCCCCTTTTCTCGCTATCCTGAGAGTCTTTTCCAGCGGAGCGATGCCGTCACTGGCGTTGATGGAAAAGCATCACCTGTGTGAGGTTTAAAGCCACGGATGTGCCCAACCCCCTTTCCCTCGCCCTTGAGCAATAGATCAGGCCCCAGAGAATTGGCCCTGGCTGCTTATCTCTGCAGCAGAGGGATGAAAAGAGGGAGCTGCAGCAGAGGGATAAAAGAGCCACATGCGGTCCCTGCTCTGGTTATTCCATTACCATCTTCCCTTTCCAATTTTCAGTTTTTCTCCAATTCTATTTAAGATACAGAATTTCTCTTGAGTCCTTCCACATTTGCTTTCATAGCATTCATAGATTCCCTTTCTGTAAAGCCAGCAAGCATGGCATTTCCTATTGGAAATAAGATTTTCTACATACAGTTATAGATGTGTGTATTTGTATTTCTCTCTCTGTGCATATATTTGCAACTGTACAATCTATCCCCAGCAATTCCAGATATATTTGATGATAAGCCTTTGCACTGCTAAGAATTTGTGAATCACCAAAGTGAAAAAGAGATATTTGAACTTGGACACAAATGTGTCAAACGAATCATAACTAATGTAAGAGGTTATTCTTTATTGTGACATGTTTGCTTATTGATTGTAATGTGCACTTTTTTTCTTTTTTCCACATCTTCTGCAACCATTCTA